TTCAGCAGCATGGACACACATCACATATTACAGTTTTACTTATTTTGAAGATTTTACTAAGGGTTTACTACGGTTGGAGTAGGGCATCACAGTGGCACAGTGGGTAGCTAAATCTACTCACAACAAGAAGTTCGCTGATTCGCTGTTGATGATTCTAATAAAGAGAATAAGCCGAAAAGATGATTCTAATGCCAAAAAAGAAAAAAAAAATGAACCTGACTTCATCCTAATTTCATGTTTTTGTTCTGGAAATGTACTGAATGCAAACTAAGGCATATGTTTTTTTTTATTATTATTATTATCCCTAGTTTGCATATATATTTATTAGGGCTGTCAAAAATAGCACATTAATGCACGTGATTAATTTTAAATATTTAATACGTAAAAAAAATAACAACACAAATAACGCAGTTGCAGTTTTTATTTTATTTCCTGTTTTGACCAACATGTGTTCAGGGACGGTGCGTGCATAGAGGCGACCTAGCAGAATAGTGAGCGAACCCCCGGTCTTCACTTTCATCCCCTACACCCACCCTCTCACGGTCTACGCTTTCGTCAGCAAACCAGTCACTTTCTTTTTCACTTTCAGGTTAAGTGCGACGTGATTACAGTTGGCCTAGAGTGCCAGTTCAGCTTGCTCCGGTGCTGCATATGTTTAACGTGCAAAGAAATTTGGATAAGACCAAGGACACGCTTTTAGAAGGAAAGTTTAAGTCATGTCAGTATAAGACAAATAATGTCGCACCACCAGGCTATTCTGCGTTTCCTCCAGAGTTTCATGGAATTTTGTTTGTTTCATTTTTAATCTTTAGACTTCAACTGCAGTTCAGCAGTTCACTCTCATTCAGCATATTTTTATTCAGGATGTTTTAATGGAATTTGATACCGCATGGCAAACAGAAAGAAAAACCTCCGTATTTCGGACTTGCATGATCCTTTAAGGTAACCAAAAATCGCTGCTTACATGGTAAACTCCTAATTAGTATTATTTAATCATAAAAGCGGAGTACGTCGTCGTGTGATTAATCATGATTAATTAAAAAAATGTGATTAATTACATTAATTATTTTTAATCCCTTGACATCCCTAATAATAATATATATATATATATAAATAATATTGAAGTCAGAATTGTTAGTCCCCTGTTGAATTTTCTTTTCTTTTTTAAATATTTCCTAAATGATGTTTAACAGAGCAAGGACATTTTTTGCAGTATGTCTGATAAGGTTTTTTTCTTCTGGAGAAAGTCTTATTTTCTGTATTTCGGCTAGAATAAAAGCAGTTTTTAATTTTTTTTAAAAACAATTTTATGGTCGAAATTATTAGCCCCTTTAGACTATATTTTTTTCGATAGCTACAGAACAAACCATCGTTATACAATAATTTGCCTAATTACCCTAACCTGCCAAGTTATATTATGTACTGTCATCATGGTAAAGATAAAATAAATGAGTTGTTGGAAATGTGTTATTAAAACTATTACGTTTAGAAATGTGTTTGAAAAAAAAATATTCTCTCCGTTAAACAGAAATTGGGGAAAAAAATAAACAGGGGGCCAATAATTCAGGGGGGCTAATAATTATGAACTTAACTGTTTATATGTACATATAAGATAATTATCTATATATATATTATCTAGATAATATATAGAGAGAAAAAGTGAGTGAGAGATTTGATCTGTAATGTTAAGATGAATTAGACACATTTTCCACTGCAGCAACACTTTCACACAAACAGTGAAATCTGATAGTGTCACAACAGCCACAGGAATGTGATGATAGCTTCACATCAAACCAACGTTTCCGCTCAATTCCTTTTTATAGAAAGAGAAGGCAGTGTGTACAATGACATCACATCAAGTCAGTCATGAAACAGTGCAAAATCACACTGCGAATATAAATATAAACTATAAGTGGGCATAGATTTTTTAATGTAGATTAATCTCACTGTAATCTTGGAATTAATCTAGAATAAAATGGCTCATTTGAATTCTGCTGAAGGCTTTCAGAATATGTGTGCTACCCAAATAATAAGTCTTTGAGAAGGGGTTTCTTAAGCCAGATGGCGCATTAGACCAGGGGCTCATCTCCTGTTTCCAAAATGCATCACAAACTGCTTGAAAAGCTGTTCTACTATGATAATTGAGGAAGAAAAAAATTTATGTTGAACTAGATGTTATTGTGTTTACTAACTGCCTATTCAATTAAACATGAATTTTGAACTGCTTTGCAGGCCTACATAAGCTCAAAACAGCAATTTTTGATTACCTTGACCCGACTAAAGTCATAACCGAACTGAACAGAAATGGAATTAAGAAATGTGGAGTATGCAGATATTAGTGGCAATATTGAAGTAAACAATGCAATCAGTAAACACCATCATGTAGGACTTTTCGCCATATTTTCCGACAAGATCCACACACTCGGCTGTCAGTAAATTACAACATATACACACACATTTTGCAAAATGCTAAAGTTTTATTTCTTTCCATTTGGTGTGGGTTAATAAATTCCATAACATTCCATAAAAGTCCTTACTTTATTTGTGTCTAATACCCCAGTTCATGCCTCCACGGGGGCATGAATGAAATGTTGATGAGTTAAAATGAAAATGTCTAACTGCAGTTAAAGTCAGACATCCTGCTGATTTGATTCAGAAGGGGACTTTTTTGTCAGACGGCTCACGGGTCAGGTATACATCCGCACTAAAACATCAAGGTAAAAGTCAACATAGCTTGCATAGAATAGACCCAGCTCCCAACCCAACTTTGAGAATAGATAAACAACGTTATTTTTTTATCGCACGGTAAAGTCTCGAGTTAACGCCGATAACGGCCCACCACTAATATAAACACACATATTTCATTTAAAAAATTTATATATCATCCTTTACATTTATATGAATATATAATTGAAATGTTAGAATGTACGTTAATACCATGTTCATTATATTGTAATGTATTAAAAATGTAAATTGCACTTGTTTAAAAAGATCACTTTGTATAATGTTTTATTAGTATAATATGTGATTTGTATAATATTTTAATTATATTTTATTTTCATAAGCTTGTGTTTGTGTTTCAGATAAAGCTGTTGAACTGCTAGTCTCTTGTTTAAGCAGTAGCTCATCAGATATCCGCAACATAGGAGCTTCTGCACTTTGGGCTTTGTTGCACAACAATCAGAAGGTAATATCTGTTCTTTTACATTTGCACTTGCATTTACATTGTCTTTTTTTCTAGAACTTTACTTTTTTTTTTTTTTTACTAGAATCACATTAGTATTCATGATCATTTTTATGAACTCAAATTGCATGCGAGTCACACGTGTGAAAATCCATCTCACTCTTTATCTTCCCAACCTGCGTTTCTCTTCATCCACAGGCAAAAGCCACTTTGAAGTGTCCTTCCATCAGACTGAAAGTTGAAGAGGCATTCGTGTCCGCAAGGAAAGGTGAGAATATATTCAGTTTGATCAGAGCGGAGCCTCTCAATTCTACTCTCAAATGCTGCTCCAGCCTTTAATACTGTACATCAGCAACTATGTTGAGTGTAATTATTTACACAGCAAGTAGTTACTTAATTAAATTACTTATCCACTGGAAAAATTATTTAATTGATTACGTTTCAGTTTTAGGTAAATTAATTGCAGTTACTTATAATAGATTTGACTTAAATATGGTACATAAATTCAACAGTTCTATATACAGGGTGTCTGCAAAAAGTCGTATAATGTCTTAAATTCTAAAGGCCTTTAAAGATTTAAATTCACTAGCTATGTTTAATTCAAAAACGCTAATTAACTTTGTGCAAAACTGGAATACCGCATAAAAGATGTACAAATAAAGCAGCAATTCCATCTAAAAAGAGTCAAAAAGAACAAAATCATCACTTCCTGATTAGCTGGCGCCAAATATCAACAGTAAAAACGGAATTTGCTGCGGTAGGAGAAGCTGCGTCAATCTTTTCATTATTTAATAAATGACTTGCGCCTTAGAAGACACTGCCAACACGCAATGAACATGTGGTGACGTTTGAAGGCATGAAATGCGGAGCACAGACGCTCTTGATTCTGGAGGTAATTGATATTATAATAACACTAATACTGAAACAGTCTAAAATTTCATTCTTAAATGTCTTAAAGGGGTCTTAAAAAGTCTTAAATGTGACCTGATGAAACCTGCAGAAACCCTGTATATATAAAAAGTCAGATAAGCAGAAAAAAAAATATTATTTTTAAAATAATTTTTCAGAACTTAATTGAGAAATTAAGTGCTGGTAATACCTACAGAGTAATTGTATACATCTATTATTTGTTAGATATTTTGCATAATTAATTTTTTTAACAAAAAAGGTTTTATTTGTCTGACAATTACACATTTAAGAAACAAATGAAGCTTTAATATATATTAGTATTAATCCTTAAATGCTTCAATAGCCAGCCATACTGTAATGAAAAAGCTCACTCCTTTCTTTATCCACATTATCCATCTTATTGTAACCCAGCATTTTTTACAGTGTATTGAGTAAGTTACTGTTCAGACACAGTAGTTAGAAAACAATTTAAATACAATATAATAATTTTTAAGTAACTTTAAACACTGCTCAGACACAAGATTTGAGCTAATGGTCTGTCTGTCTGTTGTTTTCATACAGATGAAGAGCAGAGCAATGACAAAGCTGTGAACATCTATCATCTGAAGTGCCTCCGAAATCTTTCCAACATTTTCAACTCATAAGTGCCTGATAAAAGTCCCCTAATAATGTGAACTTTGTTTTGTAAAATATGTATTATTCTTTATTCAGCTGTTTCTAGAAAATCAATAAATGAGCTGCTTTTACAGTAGACGCCTCTCTTTTCTCGGATTATGTGTCACTGGGTAATGAAACCACAATAATATTTATTTCATTATCTTTTGGGGGGTTTGTACTTCATGGATGAATTATAAGGTCAATATTTTTTTTTTCTTTTGCTTTCTATTATGATTGATTGTTCTCAAAGGGAATTTCCGAGATTTGGTTTCAGGTCCTACTTGAGATTTCGTTCTTTTCTCTCTGTGTGTTTGTGTGTGTGTAGTTGTGTGAACTTAACACCTCCTCTCTAGCAGTGTTTAAGCGCTGGATGAGGAGCTGATTGCAGACTCTTGCAGCTGAACACAGAAAGTGCCTGTGGTCGTGCGAGTCTCCGTCAATGCTGTATTCATTCTGTCTCAGAGGAGCAAGATGGTGGCTGTACAAAAGGATTACTGGTACTTCTTGGTACTCGTGATGTTGCTCTGTTTTCTGAAAGGTATGTTTTTTAGCAGAGGTACAAAACATTGGGCGGATTTTGTAAACGTTATAAGCAATTGTTTACCTTTGGTCATTTTCTATAAACAGTTGAAGGCAAAATGGTTAGCACTCCTTTGAAATTGGAATTATCTTTTTCAAATATTTCCCTATTGATGTTTAACGGTGAGACAAACACAATTTTTAAATAATTTGTATAAGAATTCATTTTAAATAGTTATTTTTTGTTTTGTCATAGCCATAATGACATAATATTTCACTAGTAATACTCTACAGTGAGATATATATATGAGACATGCAAAACCTGCCAAACTAAAATCTAGAAGAGAAATATTATAGGAAATACTGTGAACATGTCCTTGCTCTGTTAAATATCACTTGGGATAAATAAAAAAAAAGGCCAACAATATGTCTGATTAAAATTTTGACACTAATTTTGCCTTCAACTAAAAAAAGAAAATTCTGTAAAAGATAATTTAGTTTGGACTTATAGTTATATGTTTGAGTAAAGCACAATTTTAGTTATATCTTTCATCCTTACAGTACTGATGAAGTTTCATCCAGATTTAAAATAAAAATTGTTTAATTTTCAAAGGTTATTGCATAAAAAAGGTGGTATTTCTTTTAGATAGATGATTTTTATGATTTTTTTAAATAGCATAATACCAAGGTTTTATACCGTGTTATATCAACAAACATTGTCGAATAAATTGTTATTTATTTAAAATTTAAAGGTCTTTATATTAATAAATCAAATATTCTTTTTCATAGCTATTTTTATAATTATTTACCCTTTATTTTACCAGAAAATAAGACATGATGTGAGGATTTGTGGTAATGTTTTTACATGTGGTTGCTGGTTGGATTGCTGTTGTTGGATTAGTGTGCAGATTACATTTAAGAGATTCCTTTGCTGTGATTTTAAATGAAAAACATTATACGTAGAGATGGAAAAGTGCAAAACAACAGTGATTGTTGGCTGGAGAGCATTGTATTTATGCATATACGACTTCACAACATATTTAACAAGGGCTTACTTAATTAAAAGAGACCTTGAGGTCTATGTTATATTAATTTCACACAATTAAACACTGACATTGTTATATTTATTTAAAAATTTGAAGAAAGAAAAACAAGACCTTTACATAATAAAGCAATTATTTACAGAAACTTAAACTCCAGGACCTAAATCCTGAGAAACCTTGCCTTTTCATAGCTGTTTTTATAATGATTTTACCCTTCATTTTATCAGAAAATAAGACATGATGTGAGGATTTGTGGTAACAAATCAATTATTTTTACGTGTGGTCGCTGGTTGGATTACTGTTGTTGGATTACTGTTGTTGGATTAGTTTACAGTGCAGATTGCATTTAAGAGATTGTTTTGCTGTGACTTGCCAAACATTGTACGTTGAGATGGAGAAGTGCAAAACAAAAGTGATTGTTGGCTGAGGATCATTCTATTTATTCACATATGACTTCACAAAATATTTAACAAGGGCTTACCTAATTAAAATAGAAATTGAGGAACATGATTTATTAATTTTACACAAATAAACGCTGACTGTTATAATTATATGAAATTTTAAAGATAGACAAATCAGACCTTTATATAATAAGCAAATATAAACATTTAAACGTGAACACCAAGGCCTAAATCCTGAGAAGCCTTGCCTTTTTATAGTTGTTTTTATTATCATTTTACCCTTTATTTTACCTGGAAATAAGACATGATGTGAGGATTTGTGGTAACACTGAAAGTACAGTAGCTTTCATTTTTACTTGTGGTTGTTGGTTGCATTGCTGTTGGGTTAGTTTACATGGCAGCGTATATTAAGGAGATTGTTTTGCTCACTGAAAAAAATCCAGCTTACAAATTGTAAACTCAATTTAAAATTGTAAGTTACACTCCCAAAAAAACAAATATATATATATATATTTTTTTTTTGCTTGTTCAAAATACTTAATTTAAATGAGAGGAAACAACACAATTCTTGAGATTTCATTGGGACAAGTTATTTTTTTATGTTCAATTCACGTAAATTTGTTAAGTTAACTTAATTGATTTCTGTTGGGTCGATATGAATGAATTATGTGCAACCTTGCATTTTTTACAGTGTAGGTGGACATATTTTTTAGCTCAGAGTTGAATTTACTCATAAAAATTATACAACTTTAGAACTGTTTAATCAGTGAAAGGAGACTTTGAATTTTGATTTCTTCACTTCAAAACGTTAATTAAAAGTTGAGTTAACTGAAAATTTTAAAGCAGCAAAGAATATTTGAGTTTATCAAGCTGCAGTGGTTGAAGTTGTGCCAAATTATTCAGTAAGATATACTTGACTTTAACCAGCCTTTTCAGTCAACATAAAAAATATTTATTTGGCACAGCTTATACCACGGGCGAAGCAGTAGGTAGTGCTGTCGCCTCACAGCAAGAAGGTCGCTGGTTCGAGCCTCGGCTCAGTTGGCGTTTCTGCGTGGAGTTTGCATGTTCTCCCTGCGTTTGCATGGGTTTCCTCCTGGTGCTCCGGTTTCCCCCACAGTCCAAAGACATGCGGTACAGGTGAATTGGGTAGGCTAAATTGTCCATAGTCTGAGTGTGTGGATGTTTCCCAGAGAGTAAAAACTTGCTGGATAAGTTAGCGGTTCATTCCGCTGTGGCGACCAAAGATTAATAAAGGGACTAAGCAAGAAAATGAATGAATGAATGAACTTCAACCACTGAAGTTTAAACTTAACTTTTTATTTTTTTACAATGCAGCTGTAACTTTAAACCTCAAACAAGTGTTTAGATGGAGAAGTGCAAAACAACAGTGATTGGTTGCTGGAGATCATTGCATTTATTTACATATGATTTCACAGAATATTTAACAAGGGCTTACTGTATTGAAAAATAGACTGAAGACAATTATACATTATTTTTACACAATTAAACACACAAAAGTAAAATAAATGTTTAAAAACTAATTTAATACTAACTTAATGCTAAAAATTCAACTTCACTATTCAAAATCACAAATAAATTAACTTTTAAAACTCAGTAACACTTATATAAACCGAATATGAATATTTGAATATTTTTAAAGTCTTAAAATGTAATAAATCTCAAAAGCTAAATTTTAGGCCTTAAAAATTCAGAAATTTATTGAAATATTGTTTTTTAGGTCTTAAATATATTGTTTTTTTTTACAGGTGTCAATTTTCCTTTGTTTACATATAGCTACCCAATCAGGCCATTGAAACCCATAAAATCACCAACAATCATTATCATTAACACTTTTAACTTTTTGTTTAAAAATAACATTTAATTACTTTCCTTACAGTTACATTTGCTTAAAAGTTCTCCATTTATTTACTGCTGAGGATACTGAGCTGACCTAGATTTTTTATTATAAAATTATTATTATTGTAGACAGAAGTAATTTACAGCTATGTTGTGTTCTATTCTTGGTAAGACGTATAGGGTTTGTGAATGGATATATTCAGATTACCATTTTTGTATTATTAAATGTAGAAAATTTTAATCATTTTTTGATAGGGCTAGTGAAAATCTTTTTAACTGAGATATTCGAAAATAATCCTTAGCATTAAGCCCTGTATAAGCCTAAAAGTTCATTCATAATGATCTTAAAAAGTCTTATAACTTGGTGAAACCTGCAGAAACCCTGATGTGAGTATTTCACCAAATTACAACTCATATTATTGTCATTTTTAATCAAGCAAATGTATTCTTGGTGGTCATAATTGACTAAAACTGTACAAATTCAATACTTAGCAACAGTAGAGTGCTTGTAAACTATTTAATTAACTTATTTGTAAATAAAACATCTTTCATTTTAAAATCCAGTGATGGAGTCAGAAGGTTTACAAACTCTGATGTTGTTTACCAATGTCTTTTCCACTTAAAATGATGATGATTTCTTTCATTCAATAAGTGTCTGTTTCTATCCATGTCTTATTCCCCACACTTGTGCGATGCTCTACTAGGCTCAGTTCAGATGAAAGCTCCAGAATCATCAGTCGTCCTGCAGGAGGGAATGATCCTGGACTGCTTGTGCCCATGGACTGGCCAGCTCATTATGGTCTCCTGGACTAAAACACCTTTTGCAAAACCTATAGCCGTTTATCACCCTCAGTATGGCACTAACTTTGGGTCGTCTTATGAGGGAAGAGTGGAGTTTCTGAAGAGCACTGCAATGGATGGTAGCATCTCCATAATGAACGTGACTGAAGGCGACATCGGCCAGTATCACTGCTCTCTGCAGACTTATCCTCAGGGTTCATGGACCAAGGACACCTTTGTCCAAAAAGCAGGTAAATGGAGAAACTATTTTTAGCAATTTTTAGTGTTTCAATTCTTTAAAGGGAAATTTCAACCCGAAAATAATAATAAAAAAAATTGACTCACTGTTTATTGTTTCTCAAGTAGTTCCAAACCTTTATTAGTTTAGTTCTTGTGTTGAGTACTAAAGAAGATGTTTTGAAGAATTTGTAAAACCTTTTACAATTGGAAAAGCAAATACTATGCAAGTCAATGGTTACCAATTTCCAACATTTCTTAAATTATCTTCTTTTGTGTTCAGTAGAAGAAATAAAGTCAAACAGGTTTGGAACAGGTAAAGGGAGAGTAAAGGATGACAGAATGTTCAGTTTTGGGTGAACTTTCCCTTTAATAGTACTGTTGAAGAATAATTAATCCAAGATAAACCCAAAAATATATTTATAGTGGCAAGTATATATGCCAAGTCAGATATTTTACCATTTTTAAGCCACTATGAAATTTGGAATAGTAAATAATTGATTTATATGCATAAATAATATTTTTAATTTCTATATTTAAGTGAAAATTATATGTGTGTGAGTATTTTACTAGTATTTGTCTGTATTTTATTACACAGTAAGCAAGAAAACAAGTCTTTGATTATGTAATGAGCATTTAATAATAAACCACAAAATTATTGTTTCCTCTGATTGTTAAGATTACAAATAACTTTTCTTTCCTTCTATAATGAACAGAAAAAAACATAAAGAAAAAGGTTTAAAGACAAACCTGTTTTGAGCTCTAGAGCTGTTATTTTATTGGATATCCTTTTGTTGATATACTGGATATCCCATGTGTTTGCAGTAATTCAATTTTAAATGGTCATATTTCATGGCAGAATGAATGTAGATAAATTACATTACCCATTATGCAGAAAATCTTACCATCTTAATTATTAAACTCTATCCACTCATATGAAGCACCTCAATTTATGGAATTTGGTTGGTCTCCCAGTATTTGTGTGTGTATATATTGTGTCTATTCCATTAACATATTCAGCAATTTTAAATAGCTTTTTCATTTTTCCATTTTTAAGTTAATTGTGTCATTAGCGATTCTTCATGGGATCTTCCTTCGTTAAAGTAGTTTAAAACACTTATGTTTTGTACATACAGTGTAATATATTTTTAGTTCAAATTTTATTTGAATAAGTGTTAGGACTTAACTTAGGATCCATAGGTGTTTCAGTTATCTTTATTGGTTTGATGTCTTTGTTAAACAGACTGCAATAGCAGTTTAAAAAAAAAAGAAGAAGAAGAAAGAAAAGTCTTTAAATATCTAATAAACATTGCATTTTATCAACTCTGTGAACTTTGGTAAATTAAAATAGGACATAAAAAGGCCAACATGATATCTACACACACAGAAGTCTGCACATTTTTAGCCTATTGAGTCTATTTATTTACTTGTGTAAATGTGTGTAAAATTGTATTTATTCTGTTTTTAAATTAATTTCACTAATATTATTGTAATATAATAATGTTTATATAATTTATTTACAATACAATTAGTTTTTTTGTAGATATATATTAATATTTATATAAACATTTATTATTTTTTAAGATTTTAGTTATGATAATCCTTGAATAATTCCACATAAATCCACTGATTTTTATCACAAAATCCTCTGCAGAATTTGATTTAAGATGTTCAAATTGTTTTTGTGTGTTTTATTTAATGCAAAATACAGTCTCTGTATAATAAATAATCTGTATAAGATAGACAGATAAATAGATAGCTTGATAAGAAATTTTTACAGTATGTCTGATAATGTTTTCTCTTCTTCAGAAAGTCTTATTTGTTTTATTTCGGTTAGAATAAAAGCAGTTTTGAAAATTCAAAAGTCAAAATTATTAGCCTCTTTAAACTATATAGTTTTTGATAGTCTACAGAACAAACTATCATTATACAATAACTTGCCTAATTACCCTAACTAGCCTAATTAACCTTGTTTTAAATGTCACTTTAAGCTGTATAGGAATGTCTTGAAAATAAATCAGTTATTAGAAATGAGTTATTAAAACTATTATGTTTAGAAATGTGTTGAAAAAACTTTTAATAATTCTCACTATACATACAGTAGATAGATAGATAGATAGATAGATAGATAGATAGATAGATAGATAGATAGATAGATAGATAGATAGATAGATAGATAGATAGATAGGTAGATAGATAGGTAGATAGATAGGTAGATAGATAGGTAGATAGATGGATAGATGGATGGATGGATGGATGGATGGATGGATGGATGGATGGATGGATAGATAGATAGATGTGAAGTGTTTGTATAAATGATCTACAATACATACCATAATACTAATTATAACAGTGTGAAGCATTTAGGTTAACAATGCAATAGTCATAGATCTTGTATAGCATGACTTTGTTTTTCTTCTTTTGTTTTCTGTTTTAGCAATCACCACCTCCACCTCCATCTCTATCCAGGCGGACACTAAGTTGGTAGTTGCAGAGAACAACAACCTGACCATTATGTGTGACCTTGTCCACGATGGTAAGATTTACCAAGTCAGCATAGAGAAGCTGGACACTGAGGAGGGCAACAGCAATATTATAGCCACATGTGAGATGCTGGAGGACGGTGTGGAGCTGAGAAACTTCAGCAACAGAGGGCTACTGAACTGCAGTGAGGATATGGAGGTCAGTCTACATCTCACCAACATCATTAAAGAAGATGGAGGACTGTACCGCTGCAACTTCAGCACAAATAATGGTATCCAGTCCACTACAGTCCTGCTGACAACTGTACCTGCTCAAGGTGCGACAAACTTTAAACCATCTGTTTAATCATTTTGCAACTTTTTAGTCCACAATTTTAGATTCAGATAGATTCAGCTTGTTCTGTTTCTGTATTTGAGCTTCCAAAGGACATGACACAAAGAGAGAAGTGCTTACAGTTTCATTTTTAATTATGTTGCAGAGAATTATAAAAAAGATATAGCTCTAGCATTTGACAAAGGACAGCTTCTAGAATCTCTCCCAGTCTAGTGCTGGATTCTGCTAATAACTCCTCAAAGAAGGAGCAGGTCCAACCATAATAGACGAAGCTGTGGATTTGAGCCACAACCTGTAGGTATTTTTATTTGTTAAAATTGATCTATTACATACATAGTTTATTGCGTTACTGGTATGTTGTAACAAGGACTTAAACAAAGGTGTAAACTATGGGAAATACTTTTGTCACCGTTAACAGTTTAGCTACAAATTCATATTTATCTGTCAAACCCTTGTAAACACCCACAATCTTCAGCAGTGCTGCAGTGTCTCTCTGCTTTCCCTGCGTTACATATCTCAAATAACAAACTTGTAAAAGATATGTGAAGGATCAGCTGTGTCCTCTTAATTTTCTGTCTGATTCAGACTCAAACTGATGTGGCTAACCGCTAAACTGATTGGCAGTATTTACACAGCAGAAGCACAGCACATGCTATTAGGTCGCATTTACACTGCACTGTTCAAGTGACTCAATTCCGATTTTTTTTCTCCCATGTGGCACAGATCAGATATGGCCCATGTATGTGTAAGCAGGAACAAATCACATGGATTCTGATTTACTTAAATCAGATTCAGGCCTTGTTCATATGTGGAAATTTATCCAAAATGAATCGGATCTGTGTTCTTGTGTCTGCAGTGTAAGCAGGTAGATCGGAATGGAGCGTAAATGCAGCCTTAGAGGCATGATGCTTTTCCTGGTGATGTGGTGACCAATAAGAGCATCTTGAGGGCAGGCTTTCAGAGGAAATGACAGTCATTTTCATGTTAGCTGAGTAGCTGCAAAAAATCAAAGTAAGATGTATGAAAAAATTATGTGATTTTTTTTATTTATTTATTTATTTTTTAACAAATGAATAATAAGCACTGTAGGTTGCATCTTATGAACACAACCAAACCACACTCTGGAGCACCCCTTTATGAAAGAAACAAGAAAATTACAAATTATGCACCAGTTTTTTTACTGGCTTACTCCCTTACCATCGACCAAAACTGTATTATTATTCAAATTAATGTATTTAAGGTTATAATTTATTGAATAGTACAATTTTATAAATTTTATTATTTGTTAATAAATAAATAAACAAATAAATAAACAAACATTGTGCATTCTATTTAAAAAGATTAACCCTTTTACAAATATGTTTTTTTTTTTTTTTTTTTTTTTTTTTACAATATAGTCCAGATTTAGTAAGCAACTATAAAAAGTTTTCCAGACAGAATTTTGATGAAGTTTAGCCATGGAAGGTTACTAAACTTAAATATTGCAAATAATTAATTTTATATTGTTAAAAAAATACTGACATGAATGCTAAATATAAGTTTATTCACTTTCCATGGTGTAATCATCAAAATTCTTTGACATAGAGAATTATAAATCAAAAGTCCATAGGGAAAGCATATGAGTTCCTCATTTTGACCTTTCTTGACTGACTTTTAAATGTAAAGTCAAAGTCGTTAACATTTGTTGAAACTTCACAGACAAAACATGGTTGATTTGTTTTTTTAAATAGTTGTTTTGGTGTATTTGTTTTCTATAGGTTACCACAGTGAAATCCTGTGAGCAGCTATTTTTATACAACAATAATTTATTAGTATGGTGTAGGGCCTTCTTTTACACCAATTCAGCATCAATTCAACTTGAGAATGACATACAAGTAGGGATTCTCCAATCAATCGGCTGGACATCAGTATTAGCTGATAATCACATTTTATGATAAGATTGGCACTCGCCAATCTGGCCAATCTCATGAACCCATCGCAGGCGTTTTGAAATCATGAAGTCAAGAGTGAATTAGCAAGAGATTGGAATGGCCTTGCATGTATTTAGGCCTTTTTACTTATATAAAATGGCTATTTTTATCATTATTTTCTGTAAAGCTGCTTCTGACCATGACATGTCCACACTAAATGGTTATAAGAGACATATTTAAGGGATTATGTGGAACATCCTTCGTTTATTCTCTTAGTAGTAGAGATCTAAGTAGAGATCTTCACTCAAGTGTCATACTTGGGAAAATGTGCTTAATGCATTAGAAAGCTTGAAGCATCGGAATCAGTACTCTGTATCGGCCGATCACCATGACAAGGAATTGGGGCTCGGTATTATCTGCGAAAAATTCTTATCGCAGCATCCCTGCTTACAAGTTCTGCAAAGTGACTGCAGGAATTTTGAGTCGTTCATCTTGCAGAAGATTAGCCAGCTTATTATGCTGTTGGAGTAAAACTTTTTTTCATATGTTCTTCCAAAACATCCCATAGTGGCTCAGTGGCCCTCGTGGTTGTATAGGCCATGCCACACATCATCCTGATACATGGCATCTCTTTCTGGGTATAAGGTTTGGACCATTTGGTCGTCCTTGGCAGTGATTTGCCTATCTATTACAAGTATTGTGTTTAGGGAGTGCCATGATATTGCAGCTCAAACAATCTCTGAACCACCCCATGCTTTAATCTGGGCATGCAGCAGTCTGGGTGGTACACTTCATTGGGGCTTCCCTACACCATAACTCCTCCGGATGTGGGAAAGACAGTAAAGGTGGACTGATCAGAGACCAATACATGTTTCACACTGTCCACAGCCCGAGATATGTGCTGCTTGCACCATTGAAATCGACATTTAGCATTGAACCTAAACGTTTGTCTATAGCCGCTTGGCCATGTATTATTCCTGTGGAGGTCCATAGTTTTGGTGGGAATGAGAGTTTAGATCCACATTTAATTCTTTGATTCTAAATCTTGTTTGTCACAGGGGGCATGCATGAAATGTTCCCGAAGGAAAGTGAAAGTGCCAAACTGCACTTAAGGCCGAAAAATTAAAAAGGAAACACCCAAAATTACATGAAACTCCAGAGGAAATGTAAATAGCGCAGTGATGCAATGACTTTAATTGAATGGTAATATGTGCTATAACATGTAAAACAGGATCATGAAAGGAGCATTCAAAATGCAGCTTATGTAACCACCTTAATCATATTATTGTCTTATTCAGATTAAGGCAAATAATTCCATTACTGATGTCCATGTGAACATAGTCAGTGTCTTCTTTTGAACTCTGATATGCCTCTTTGTGTTGTATTTGTGTCAGTATTTTATGTAGGGCTGTGATGTTGCTCTGCTAACTCAACCTTCACACTCTGCTTTTTATGGTGAAATGTGTAATCTATCAGTGAAGATTAGCCACTGGTCTGTGCAAACATCTTCATAAATTCTCCAACACTATATTGCCCTGTGTTTTAGTTTCTTCGCAGGGGCACCTTTTATCATTTTGGAAGGGCACTTTCTATCCAAGACTAAAAAGGGCATGTGCACTGCACAGGTTGAGCTCTATGTGTGCACGTGTGCCTGCTCTAATCTAGTTTTTAATGGCAGATCGCACTCTAGGAAAGTTTTTAACAGCTGACAGTGCTCTATGACAGTTTTTAGCAGCAGATGGCGCTTTAGGTTGGTTTTAACAGCTGATAGCTCTCTAGGCTCTAGGCTACATTTTAACAGCAGATGGCACTCTAGGCTAGCTTTTAGAGTCATATAAGTTGCATTTTGTCACAAGATTAATGAAACATCTCACTATGATTGCTCTTGTAATTAACTTTAACCTTTCCTATCTTTAGTATTGATTATTTTAAGTTCAAGTGGTATTTGTAATTTGTAATTGGATGCAAGCAGAATTTGGCTGTAAAACATACATCACCATCTGCTGCTAAAAAACTAACCTGGGAATTGGACCTGTAGTGTTTATTATTTACTTTGGTCAAATTTGCCATTAAATATTAAAGTTTTTTGGCTCTGTTGGCCTTCCAAACAACGTTCTTCCACACTACACTTTTTTGATCAAAATATTAATGTACCTTGCGTAAATGAAATGTCTGTGTTTATCTCTTATTTTCAGATTTCCCAGGTCTTCATCATATGCTGTATGTGTATATTGGAGGAGGGGTGATTGGTGTTGTTGCTCTGATGACTTTGTTGCTGACGTGGTTGAACAGGTTTGTGTCAGTAAATTCTACAAGTCTTTCTTTTAAAGGGGACCCATGATGCCCCTTTTTACAAGATGTAAAATAAGTCTTTAATAATGTCTCTAGAGTATGTTTGTTTAGTTTCAGCTCAAAATACCCGACAAATATTTTTTTTAGAACTGGCCCATTTAGGTTTGATCTAAATTTTATTGTTTTGGTGACTGTCACTTTAAATTCAAATGAGATCATTTTTGCATTCTAAAACTCAACATTTATAATGCCTCTTAGGCGCTGACAGTAAGGGCAGGTAAAAAAAAAAAAACCTAATGGTGGACGGCTTCTTCTCACTCAGGGCTGTTTATGCCAATAAGGTAGAGGTTGTCACTAAGGCTACACTGCTCACACTGCAGCCAAAAGTGGCCCAAATCAAATTTTTTTTTGTCCACATGTGACTCAGGTTATGATAGTGTGAACAGCCCAAACTGCATGGAATCTGATCTTTCCAGGTCAGATCTGTGCCACTTTCATTTGTAATCAGGGCCGGCGCGCCCATAGAGGTGACCTAGGCGGCCGCCTAGGGCGGCAGTATAGAGAGGGCGGCGTCCGCAACACCCCCCTTAGCGTCCTCAGTTAAGTCCGCAACACCTCCCTCACCACCCGCGTCCTCAGATATATTCGCGCATAGGCGACAGAATAGAGAGAGCAGTGTCAGCAACACTTCCATCAGCACCTGCGCGTCCTCAGTTATATCCGCGCATAGGGCGGCAGAATAGAGGTCCGCGACACCTCACTTCATTTTCATAACCGGTCACTTTCGTTTTCACATTGGGGTTGAGGGCGGCATGATCATCCTCTGGCTAGAGCGGCAGTTCAGCTTGCTCCGGCCCTGTTTGTAGTCTTAAATCAGCCACAGATCTGATGTTTTGCAATGCGATCACAGTGTAAACGGTTATGTCGGATTTCATGTGACTTTTACATAATCTTTGAGCGGCATGCGTCATCATTCTTATTATATCCGTGTGGATAATGAACGTTGCATACATAAATGACACACACGCTGGCTTGACTGCTCTCCGTTTTACTTCGCTCTTTTAGATAACAACTACAACCGGGGATTTTTCGGTAAACATCACAATGCATTCTGGGTGCTGTAGTAAAATAATAATGCCTTGAAACATGCAACAATTCTCTGCTGCAGACATCATCTACTCCTCAGCAGCGTAGTAGAATAGCAGACATGGCGATTACTTTACTACAGAGAGTTGGTTGTTCATTTTGAAAAATATTTTGCAGGCCAAACTGATGCTTGTTAACGATTGGGGCATGGGTTGATCGCAAAGCTGAAGAGCATCGTGCGTGTTGCGGATAGGGGATCCGTGTGCAAAGGAGGGAGAACTTTTTTCCGAGAGAAAAAAAGGGCAGGTGCTCGAGCACCCATACCTCCCTTTTGTATGTGTTTATAAGGCAGGACAATGAAATAACTCTGCAAATGGAGATAAACCAACTCCGCCTTCACAGTTCAGTCTGCGGCTGCTCATTAATCCTTGATGAGTTTACTACACCGGTGGTCAAACAAACGCGCAGCGCGGTTGTCATAAATCACTCATGATCAGCGTTTTCAATCACAAGTGACTTATTTTAGATTTCAAATGGCAAAAAACACATTAGTAGTAGCACAACAATCATTTACAGTTCATGAAATACACCACGGTTGTCTGTGAAAAGGGTAATAATCATAAAAGCATGATCTGAAAACGTGCTTACTTCATACAGTATCACGTGTGCATGATTAGACATTTTGTGCTGTCCGTATCTGTACTTTTAAGCATGCGGGTCAGTTTAGGACCATTATCTTTTTACACTGCAAATCTGGCCACATTTATAAGTGCAATGTGAACAGCCATGCAAAAAAATCAGATCTGACCACTAAGCCTGGCAGTGTGAATGTAGCCTAATAGGCAGGACTTCCCCCATCTGATAACATTTACAAAGGGAGAATGTCAATCAAAGAGTTTCTTCAGAATGTTTTTCAAATTGTGATTAAAAAAATTATAATTAATGTTTATATGGAAATATTCACACTGTTTCCACAGACCTTAAACACCTATAAATGTGATTTTCACAGAGTAGGTTCCCTTTAGGGCTGTGCAATTAACTGAAATTGAATCAATCACAATTTGAACCGCTGTGATTAGCTAATCGCAAGAGGCTGTGATATGAAATATCTATGTATTATTTATTTTCCACGCCCAGAGCAAATGCGCGACTGCCATCTGTGTGTGATAATCTTACTAGCCAATTGAGTGAGCATCTTTCCTTCTGCCCAATCAGAATTGTGCAACCAAAAAGTGCAGACAATTGGAATAATGGCGTCTGCTGCTTCCGAAGCATTAATAGACTAATAATTTTAAAGAAAAATAGGACATCTGCAATATGGCAATATTTTGGTTTTGAAGTCAAAGACACCAAACAAAATCATCATTTTTAAGAGCTGTCCAAGAATTGTTGCCACTGCTTACAGGTTATTGAGCTGAAGCTTGACTACAAAGTTAAATTGCATTTCAAATCGCGATATCTGTCAGAAATATTGCAATTAGATATTTTCCCCAAATCGCGCAGCCTTAGTCCCCTTTAACTTGAAATACCTTTCATTGTCAACATTATTCCCTCTTAATGTAATCTCATGCAAAGCATGCTGGGAACTAAACACCTACTTACCAAGTAGTTGCACCAACAACATTTGTTCATGTTGCTCCAACAAATCAATTAGTTTAACACAGTTTTTGTTTAATTTTATTTAATTATATTATATATTTTTTTCATTTCAGTTGGTATTAACATAATAATAAATAAATAAACAATTGTAATAATAATAATAATAATATATTTTATTTATAATGTGCTTTTCTAAAACCCAAAGCGCTTACAAGAAAGTAAAAACAACAAAGCACAGTAAAACAATAAAAAAATACAGTAAAAAACACAGTAAGAATAAAAGATATCACAAAATAAAAACAGTCCTAAAAAGATGAGTTTTAAGTAGCTTCCTAAAACCGTCCAAAGAACCAGTATTACTAATGTTTGTGGGAAGAGCATTCCACAGTTTGGTGGCACGGAAAGAGAACGCCCTACCTCCCATTGTGCTGAGTGCAGTGAGGCTGAAACAGCGTAGGACCAGAAGCAGAACGTAGACCGCGAGAGGCAGATGAAATGGATATCAGGTCACAAATGTAACCTGGAGCAGAACCATGAACCGCTATAAATGTTAAAATCAATGTCTTAAAATCAATACGTGACTTGACGGGCAGCCAGTGAAGCTGTTGAAGTACAGGAGTGTTGTGAGACTGAGACAATTTGTGTGTCAACACACGTGCAGCAGAATTTTGGATGCTTTGTAAAATCTTGTGAGAATTAGCTGGTAACCCTCCGAACAGAGAATTGCAAAAATCCAAGCGAGACAGAATAAAAGCATGGACAAGTCTTTCAGCGTCAGGCCTCGAGAGGAAAGGACGTAAGCGGGCAATATTTTTATTTACATGTTTAAAAAGTCCAGGAGAAGATTACGCACCTGCGGAGATGGTGACAAGACCAACCCATCAACTGTTAACTCAAATTCACTATACCTCTTGATGTTAGAAGGAGTGCCAACCAATAAATTCTCTGTTTTTGAACTGTTTAGTTTAAGATAATAAACTGAATTGTGTGTTGTATTGTTCAAACTCATTTTAAACAAGTAGCTTGAACAAGCAGCAAAAAAAATAATAAACAGTGTATACTAGTACAGTCCACACTCAAAAAATGACTTTTGCTGCTTGTTCAAACTACTTATTTAAAGTGAGTTGAAAAAACACAATTTTTGTGTATTTTTTGGGACAACTAATTTGTTTTATGTTCAAACCACTTAAATTTGTAAAAAAAAAAAAAATCAAGTGAACTTAATCGATTTGTGACAATAGAAAGTAAGTTTTTACACTGTATATTTGGATTAAAGGTTGAGGAACACATCCACATTTCTCTCATCTTCCATTAGTTATGAATGTTTAGTGATCTCCCTGTTAACTGCGTATGAAAGCTGCTCTTCTCCAGATGTCCAGCACTCTTTTTGCCAGACAGTCAGTTTTCCACTTAGTGTGCAGTTTGTTAAGCGCTGGAGCGAGGTTATCTTTATACTGCAGGGTTTGCTCTCCTGCTCCTTTAGAAAATGATTCAGTGGCCTTTAATGTCCATCATGTGAGAATCCCTCAGCCAGTTTGTCAACTTTTTTTTCTTTTTTTTTTTTTTTTTGCAGGATGAAGAGGAAGAAAGAGGAGTACAGGATCAAACTGCACCCTGCCAAGAGACAGGTAAGTTTGAGCATTATTATTATAACATTATTTATCCTATTTCCATGTTTTGAGGAATGTGTGTATATATGTTAAATGCAATTTCTACAACATCTGGAACAATAATGAACAGTGAACACATACAGTGCTCAGCATTATTGAGTACACCGCATTTTGAATATATATATATATATATATATATATATATTTTTTATCCATTTCTCAGTGAATATAGCAAATGTATTTTGGCGCATTTAAATAAAACAGATTAATTAAACAGATATATTTATTAAAATAATGTTTTAGCCACAAACTATATTTAGAAATTGAAAGATAATGCAATTAAAAATAAAATTTAATTCAAGCAAAATATTAAAAAAAAAAAAGAAAAAAAATTACGGTGTACTAGTTTTGGATCGTTATAGTAAGTTATTTTTGCTAGATAATCTCCAGATTTGGCTCCAGTACTGACTAATTTAATGTATATGCAAAAATATAATATTGTATAGCTTCCTATTAAAAATAGAAATTTATAAGAGAGATTTGTGAAGGGTGTACTCCTATATGCTGAGCACTATATAATGACTAATAATCTATACTTATAATCATATAGATTTTTTATACAACAAGAATAATCAAATTATTGACTATATATTCATGATTTGGTACCATTAATAAAATGTAACATTTTAACATAATAACATTTGTTGCATAACTTTGTTACCCAGTATAAATCAAACAAAAATAACATTTTTCAAGTATAAAAATAATAAAAAAACAAATATGGCTAAAGTTATTAAAGTGTTTTGCAATAGTTTGTATATAATATTTATCCATCACTATTAAATATAGATCCTTTATACTTTATACACAATAGTAGTATATTAAAATAGTGTATTAAATAGATAACATATTATATAATTACTATATTAAATTATTTTATTATTACTTTATTACTACATAAAAATATTATTACATTGTATTTATAATAAATATATAGTATAATATAATATAATAATATTATATATACATATATATATAGTAATTTAATATAACTGTATTCAAACTTAAAGTAATAAGCATAAAATAATTGTGAATTATGAAAACATAAGCATAACGACCAGTGATTATTTAAATAAATAATGGCTTATTGGCTTATTCTCCTCCAGACTAATGCAATCTCTCATGTCAGATGTGTTCAAGCTTCATTCATTCATTCATTCATTCATTCATTCATTCATTCATTCATTCATTCATTCATTCATTCTTTCATATTAACACTAAATGTCTTCTTTCTATAACAGCGTAACCCATATGACCAGAGCTGTGTGTATGACAGGATGAAAAAAGGCACCAGAACCCGAGCTAAAGATAAAGAAATATACATGAACTTTCAGATAGTGAGAGCTCACGCTAAACACAAACGATGACACTCTGCCATCCAGAGCACTAAAAAATAACTCAGAGAAAAGCAACATCACTGCCAGCAAATGCTTTTGCACCTGAATACTAATGCATGGATCAAGGGGAATAGTTGCTAATTATGCGGAAGATGAATGCATCTGTGTGCGTAATTTGTCATTTGATGAAGCACTACCACCATCATCCTCATCTTCATCATTGCATTAACCATTCAGGTCTGGCATGAGCTCACTTTACATGGCATTTCATTGCATAATGGTGCTGGATTTTGGCTGCTCTTGACCACATTGTGGCAAATGTGAAGTTTGTTTGACAGGTAATCATTTTAAAGAGCTTTTCTGCATTGTAGCACAGCCAAATATATAAATTAGTGCTGGGGAAAAGATTCATCGTGATTCATCGCATCCAAAATAAAAAGTTTGAGTTTATGTGATATATGTGTGTGTCTGTGTGTATTGTATTTATTATGTACGTATATGTAATACACACTCACATATTAGGAATACAAATTTTACAAAATAAAAAAATTACATATTTCAAATTTGTAAATATAGTGTGTATTATATATATATATATATATATATATATATATATATATATATATATATATATATATATATATATATATATATATATATATATATATATATATATACATACACACACACACACACACATATATATACATATATATATATATATATATATATATATATATATATATATACACACACACACATATATATATATATATATATATATATATATATATAAACATTTAAGTAGTTTACATTTTCTCAAATATATGTATTTAATTGTATCTGTTTAAACTGTATAAAGTAAATATATGCAAAACAGACATACATTTATGATGTATATGTAATGCACACTCATACATAAAAATATTTACATATTTATTTTATATAAAATTTGTATATATATATATATATATATATATATATATATATATATATATATATATATATATATATATATATATATATATATATATATACACTATAAATATACACGGTACACACACATATCTTATACAAACCTTTCTTTTGGGTGTGATTAATCATGATTGATCTTTGCCTGACGCTAAAATAAACCTATAAACAAGCTTTAGTTTGAGTGACTCAGATTGTCAGTGGATTGGCTTTTGAGTGGATGAATCTTCTCCAAATCACATCCTCAGGTTGAGTCTGGATGCTTTGTTTCTGCAGAAATGGAAATACCAGCCTGAAGAGTGAAAAACCCTGGAGATGAACCTTGGTGAACTGACAATGCTCAGCTTTCAGGCGCGATGTGATTTGCTTTGTGAGACGTGACAGTTTAGATGATTTAAGTTGCTTGAGGATGGAAGATTAAACATGGAAACAATGAATGAAACGAATCACATTTTTTGTTTACTCATCTGTCACTGATCTCACAAATCAATCTGTACAAATCAAAAATTAGGCCTGGTAGTCTAAAAAGAAAATATATGAGACTTTGTTATGCCTGAATAATGATGTGCCTCATAAACAAAATTAACAGACTGTTTGGTTTTCTTGTTTTCATATGCCGGTTTTAAAAGGGAAACACATTATTAGCCCTCCTGTGAATTTTTAATCCTTTTTCAAATATTTCCCAATTGTTGTTTAATGGAGAGATTTTATTTCAACACATTGTAGATTTAACAACTAATTTGCTTAGTTTCCTTTGTTAGTTTTTTCCTTAGTTTTTGCCCTGAATACAGTGCGTAATATTTTACTAGTTATTTTGCAAGATTATAGTATTCAGACAAAAAAAAAATGTAAAGGCTTAACTGGGTTCATTAGGTCAACTTGGTAAGTCATTGTATAACAGTGGTTTGTTCTGTAGCCAATAAAAACAAACCTCTTAATATATAAAAACATACAATGCATGCGGAAAGTATTCATAGCGCTTTACTTTTTCCACATTTTTTTTTTTTTTTATGTTACAGCCTTATTCCAAAATGGATTCAATTAATGTATTTCCTCAACAATCTACACACAATACCCCATAATGACAATCTGAAAAAAAGATTTGTTGAAATTGTTGCAAATTTATTAAAAACAAAAAACCTGAAAAATCACATATACAGAAGTATTCACTCCCTTTGCCGTGAAGCTCTAAGCTCAGGTACATTCTGTTTCCACTGATCGTTCTTGAGATGTTTCAGCAGCTTCATTGGAGTTCAGCTGTGGTAAATTCAGTTGATTGGACATGATTTGAAAGTTTTGACAGTGTAGGAATTGTCTGTAGACCGAAAGGCATCTGAAGGCGTCTCAGACCATAAAAAACAAAATTCTATGGTCTGATGGGACTAAAATTGAACTCTTTGGAGTGAATGCCAGGCGTTTTGATTGGAGAAAACCAGGCACCCCTCATCACCAGGCTAATACCATCCCTATAGTTAAGCATGGTGGTGGCAGCATCATGCCGTGGGGATGTTTTTCAGCAGCAGGAACTGGAAGATTAGTCAGGATAGAGGGAAAGATGAATGCATCAATGATTTTTTTTTTTCAAAACTCTTTTTTTTTCACATTGTCATTATGGGGTATTGTGTAGAATTTTAAAGAAATAAATTAATTGAATCCATTTGGAAGGCTGTAACATAAAAAAATAGAAAAAGTGAAGCAGTTATTGATTTTGTTTTTCAGCTGTTGATCAAATGTAAAAAAATAATAATAATAATAATAATAAAAAGACAATTAAGAGTTTTATTATTTATGAATTTTTATAATAAAAAAATCCAGAAAATTAAGCTCTGATTTACAACATTTACAATTATGCTAAAAGTTCTATTTTTTTCCTAGAAATTTTTATATGTTTACCAATTATTTCTATTTTAAATCAACAATGTTATTTAGTTTGTATTCACTGAAGAAACATAAAAGCAATGCATTACCAAAGATGACAAAAAAAAACATGACAAGTACAGATTTCATTCAGCATTATTCAGGGGGTTTCTGTAAAGTCCATTCAGTTTATTTTACTCAGTAAACATTGACATATCCACACAGGACAAAATTCTACTTAATGCCATGAAATAAACCATGAATTTAAACATACAGTTACAAAATAAGCACACAAACTGAAACTGCTGGAAATGCTGAAACAGCAAGAAATGATTCCTGAAGAATCCCAAAGGGAATTTCCATAACCAGCAACATTTAGAATATCATGGATTTCAACAGTGTTTTGACCAAATATCCCTTCGAAACCTCATTGGAAAAGGATTTTCCCTTTTTTAAGACATGTTCAATGTAGTACAACGCACACTGTTATAAAAAAAATTAAACAAGATTTGTTAAATTCACATTCAAGTGCTACTAAATGCAGATTTTGCAAATAATTATACAAGGGAAAAGGGGAAATATTACAATTGCTAATGTGCTTCTCAAACATCTACCTCCACACCATCCACCATAATGATCAGTTGCATTATTAAGGTCAAAACTGTTTTGTAGCACAATTAGACAAACATCAACAGTCATTTAAAGGTGTTTGGTCAAGAGTTAAACTAATTCTGAATTGATTGTCGCACCGAATGCATTATAGTGTTAGTGCAGACTTTTACCATCCACAAACCCTTACATTTATTGAATAGAGCTTTCTGAAAAGCACTTAACGGTGCAGGGAGATATTTTTTGTTCTGTTTTGAGACAAATGTGGTGTCAACATATAACTGTATTTCCCTTCTACACATGTGGGATGGTGGAGAGATGATAACTGAATCAGCAGAGTCTGAAGGCACTTCTTCTGCAGTGTGAACTGAACCTCTCGTCCAGTCTGGAGACACATTTCACAAATTCACTTCATGTAACTTTATAAAATAAGATTGTTTTGGGGGGGACCAATACACAGAATAGTTCATCCAAAGAATTCTAAACAATTTTGAACTTAAATGTCATTCCAGTATTAGCTGTAAACATTTAGCCCAGTGGTCACCAAACTTGTTCCTGGAGGGCCGGTGTCCTGCAGATTTTAGCTCCAACCCTAATCAAACACACCTGAACAAGCTAATCAAGGTCTTACTAGGTATACTGGAAACATCCAGGCAGGTGTGTTAGGGCAAGTTGGAGCTAAATCCAGGACCAGGATTGGTGATCCCTGATTTAGCCTGTTGCATGGTGTGTTCACATTTGAAGTTTGGTTGTCTTGGTTTATTTGGTCCAGACTAAACAAAAAAAAAAGATACATTTAGTCCTGGTTTGTTTAACATTCATAATGTCATGTTTAAAACTGGACATCACACTTTTTTTTTGCTCTTAGTTGATGAAAAGAGTAAGCCTGTTGCCTTAAAATTAAGTAAATCATAGGTCTCGAGCTCAATTTCAGGAGGGCCGCAGCTCTGCACAGTTTTGCTCCAACCAGGATCAAACACAGCTGATTCAATTAATGAAGGTTTTCATGACTCTTTCGAACACCTCGTTAATTTAGATCAGCTTTGTTTTATAGGGTTGGAGCAAAACTGTGCAGAGCTTCAGCCGTCCAGGAATTTAGTTTGAGACCTATGGAATAAATAAACATAATAACAAAATATAATACAATAAATTAAGTTCACTTAACAGTTGCAAGTTACAATGGGTTTACTCAGTTTTTATATATATATTTAAAGCAAAGTCAACTTTGCTTTATATATTTAAAGCAAAGTCAAAACAGCAAGAGGAATTCCTTCATCATACAAAAACAGTGATATCTGCTGCAAAATTAAGTATGACAAGAAACAAAAACAGGTATGCTTGATCATTTTTGTTATATTCTCATCTTGTAACATCATGCCCTGTGTTTGGTTAGTTTCAATGTCTTTGGTCTGTGACGTGTTCATATTTCAGCCAAACCACACCAGTTTGTTTAAAAACCTTCTTTTTTTTCTTTTTTTTTTGATGTTCTTGGTTCACTTTTTTGGTGCATTTGCAGTGTTTACACCTATTTATTAAAGCACACTAAATAGCGGGTGTACACAATGAAGATTCTGATGGTCAAAAATTGGTATGTCATATGGCTCAGCTCGTAAGATCCTCACGTTACGAGCCAAGACCATAAGAGCATCAGCAATTACAAGTTTCGATTTCTGATCGAGAAAAAAACAAAAAGGGCTGTAAAATAAGGCTTTGGTGGACATGCGTCTCTAAATAGCACTAGAGTTTCTTTTAGATAAACCAAACCTGTAAGTGTGAACACACCACATTTGCTTCAGTTAACTAGAAGAACAAATTAATTGGAAAAAAGTGGTTTAAAAACAATGATTTCTCCATGTTTTAGACATTCAGTAGTTCTTAAAAAAAATTCATCATCACAACACTATTGTATGGCTTCTGAATATGCACAATAAAGTCCAAAGACCCATTAACACCAAGAACTGTAATGGTGATTACTGTAATGGAGATGTACATCTATGTTGACACTGGATTGTTTTGGCCTGCCACTTTAAATCCTTGAGCTTATTAATGCTCGAACTTCAACTCTGAAATCTGCACCTTACTAGAACTATGTTAAGCTGCTTTGACACAATCTACATTGTGAAAGTGCTATATAAATAAACATGAATGGAATTGAATGACAGTTGGATTCTGATTGGCTGTCAGTAATATTTTTTTTATTTTTTTTATCGATTTGTTTAGTGATTCCAGCACTGTCCTAATTGACATACTCTCAAATAATAAATATACATTAACAAATGTATATTAAAACTACAGTGAACTATTTAGAGAACTCTCTAAATAGTTTTTAAAAAGATAACAACTGGTGTATCCCGATTCATATTGCATATAGTTATTCAGATGTTAGTCTACTATCCATGGTAGAAATTCAAGATTTGTGCAAACTTTAAAGGCTTTTATTGCTCACAACACAATGTGGACATGAAGTCAGCTACAAACATTGACAAAAGTGTTAACTCTTTGTTGGGTGAATAGCTAAATATGCTAATTTTATTGACATTGATTACTATAAATATCTTGCCCTTATTCCTTTACAAAAGTACATTCTGTTTTGCTGAAGTATACTTTAAATTGGCAAACTGTGATGGATATTGTTCATATTTTTGTGGTGCAATTTGTCTATATAGTTACTGTATAATGTGCATCATCCTTGGTGTGAACTGGCCTTTAGAAACTCTTTATTGTGCTGTTTTAAAGTCACTTCTAAACCTTTTCTGGGTTTTATGGAAAACAGCATCCAGCAGAAAGAATGTCACACAATTTTGGAAAGGCTTTAAAGGGTTAATTCACCAAGATAAAAAAAGGAAAGGAAGAAAATAAACATAAATGAAGTTCTGTGATTCTTCACTCTGCATACTTTTGTCCCAAACCTTCTTCTGTTGAACACAAAACAAGATATTTTAATGAATGTTGGAAACCAGTAGCCATTGACATTCATAATGGGGTATATGCCGAGCTAGTGTGTTTCCCATACTGATAAACTTCCTGTGACCTGTTATTGTGAGTTTTTTCCATTTTACACAGTTCCTTTTACAGCATCGATGTTGTAATGTAATTAAAATACAATCAGTTAAACAAACTTTGGCATTTAGTAGCTCAAGCGTAAAATAAATGCTCACATTATAAAGACAATGTAATGTAATGGAATGCAGTGCTTCTTGTAAATTCTGAGACCCACTTTATATCGGATATCAGTCAGCCAGTGGAGATCGCTGATTTATGAAGAAAACAGATATTAAACACGCTGATTTTGCATTGGCATACAATTCACCGGAAACGATTAACCCAGGTTACTGGCAAATTAAAAGTCCTATTAGCATGCTTCGACATATACCCTATTTTTATGGGACAATGGACACCATATGCAACATATCTTCTGTGTTGAACAGAAAATAAAATGTTTGGAACTGTTTGAGGAGTGAATATTAAGTAAACTTTAATTTTGTGTGTGTAATTTAACCCTTTAATTAGGCCAGAATAGGCCAAATTTGGGGTGAACGATGTCTTTAAAGTTATGTATTTTCCAGTAATTTCCCCCAAAGCATCACACTGCACTCATCAGACATCATGGCTGCGCACAAAGCCAAAGGAAATGACGAAAAGTGCAAAACAAGCTCTAATAATTTAAAAGTGCAGGGTGCTAAAACACAAACGCTCATATTTGACAGAAAAGTGTCCCATATTACAACGACAGACAGAAGAAGCGCTACTACAGCGCTTCAGTATTTACATCAAATCTGAAAAATAACTGCAGAAAGTCCATTTGTCTTAAACTACACCAGGAAAATAAAATTTATGATACAACTTTTTTGGCATTTGTTCTTTTTTTCTCCTCAACGTACAAAAGCCTCCTACTATACACACTGTTCTACAAATATTTATTAGGTCATACATATACATACATTTATAGAGAGAGTTCATAACTGTACATGTGTCTAAGAGCTTCCTAAAGCTTTGGAATGTCCGGGAATCGTGGCTTTTTTTCGTTCGTTTTGTTTGTCAAGGAGTAGTTACGTCAGCGGAGCGGCGAGGAGCTGCAGTCCCGACCGTGTCCGCCAGAGGCCGCTGTCGCCTGATCCCGATTCTGCTGCTCGTCCTCCGTCCGCTCGGAGAGGAAGCTCTGAAACGTCTGCGCTCGTGGGATGAGCGTCATAGTCAAACTCGTACCTTGAAAGAGCCAGAAAGATCACCATGGGTGTTACTGATGCCAAAAGACATTCGCGTAAAGCTAATAATTATAAAAAAACACACACATATTCCTTGGCATCGATTAACCTGAGCTTTTAAAGGCAGCATTGATTGCCTTTGTGCATTAATATCAGTGTTCCTTAAACAAGAGGGTGGAGGGAAAAAGAAAGACATTGGCCACTGTCCATGTATCAGTGTTTGGCACGCTTACGGGAGAGGAAGAAGATGGCTTAACTCGATTTTCTGGAGGTGATTGTGTGATCAATTATGGATGAGCAGGAATAGAATATATCCAGGGTGAGATGAGGATACCTGCTCTCCGAGTAGGCGAAGCACACTAAACTTGTTTCTTAACAATCCCCCGAGCTCATATTTATATATAGTGAGAAAGAGAGAGAGAGGGAGTCAAACAAACAAGCTCACAGAGAGGGCGCGTGACACGGGCTGTATTTAGAAAGCTCTTCTCAAACAGGTATACCGTTAACTGGAAAGAGGAAAACTGTAACTTCTTACAGGTGGGTGGGTTAAGTTTGGATCAACTACAATCTTATAACGTTACACTTTTTTTAAGGAGAAAACGCATTGTTTTTTTCTGCTTCAGTGCTGCGCCCCAATTCGCACACTAGCGTCCTAAATAATAATTAGTGCGTTCCAGTCTGCTGAGAATAGTATGGCATAGGTGCCTACTATTTCAGGTGGATTCCTGTTGGGTTTTTAAAGTAAATCACAAAACTGTTGTACAAAAGGTTAAAAAAAATCTCTGCTCACCACAGATGTTTTAAAATAGACTGTAGGCTATGTAAATGAATATAAGTGTGTGCAAATTGGGTCAAAATGTTCAAAATGTTCAATTTTACAAACACAGCCAGCTATGCATTAGAAGGTAGTTGCATGATAAATATCTTGGTTAAAATAGCGTAACACTGCTGTCTATATTTATATTTAGCTACCTAACAAGATAGATATATTTGCAATTTTGCATATGCAATTTATGCTTGCATATGGTGTTTTTTCCGGCAGTCGAGAAATAAACATTTAACAAAACTGGAAGCATGATGACATTGCATGATCATGCATTTATTGTTTTTTTAGAATCTGGCACCCTCTGGCATGATGCTCAAAGTGCTATAAGCTCTATTGCATTGTACAACTCAAATAATAATACAAAATACACAAATACATATACAAACACACACATAGAACAGTTCTGTCTGGTTCTCGAATCTGATTGGCTGATAGCTGTGAGATATTTTTGCAAAAACAGCATTCCAACAGCCTCTTCACTCTTGTGTATTACTCCGCCCATATAGAGTCACAGCAGATCAATAAACTCACTACAGTTTGACAGATAGTGCAGCTGTTGGACAACATAATGTACTTTTGAGGCTTTTTAGGTGAGAATGTAGTTGATGATTGCAACTTTGCAGTTTTTTTTTTTTTTTATAAGGATAGTGCCAATTTTAAATATCATTTTGGAGGCTGCGGCCATCAGCCTGTCATACTGAGCAAAGCAAAGACAATTGCGCCACTAGAAGGCAAAGAGACTGCATAATAAGCCCTTAGAGGAAAAAAAAACTCAGCATTTTCTTTTTATATTTCAAACTACAGCTGATCAAATCATTATAAACAGGTAAGTGACATTTTAAGTCGATCTTTCTCTCGTGTATGTTGCAATGTTGCATTTATACCATATAATCTGCTAGTCTTTGCTTTGCTATGAATTTCATTCATTTACTTGTCGGCTTAGTCCCTTTATTAATCCGGGGTCACCACAGCGGAATGAACTGCCAACTTATCCAGCAAGTTTTTATGCACCGGATGCCCTTTCAGCCGCAACCCATCTCTGGGAAAAGCTATAAGTTTTTTGGGGTTAATTATTGTGAATTCCCGATTGCAACAGAGAAATGCTGTTAAATATCTCTAGACTGATGGCATTACATGCCCTTTAACCTTATAATCTTAAAATGTCAGCAAAATCACATAAGAACATTACGCTCGAGAATCATTTAAATACTAGCCTTAAAGTGATGTTGGTGGCGTAGCAACGGTTTCTGTGTTTGATTTTCTTTTTTATATACACGATCATGCCATCGAACTGTTGTATTAACACAATATCACACTTGTAGCAGTGTGATATGGCTGTATGTCATCACTAGTGGGACACTAAGGGCGTACTCACACTATGCAACCCGTACCGTGCCCAGGCCCGTTTCCCGCATCATTTGAGAAGTGTGAGTGCACTGAATCGGGCTCAGGCGCGGTTCACTTGGCCAGCCCTGGCCCGGTTGGAAGAGGTGGGCCTGAGCGTGGTACACTTGGGCTAAAGTCGCGCCAAAGCCTAAAACTGAAAGCGAGACGTGACTTTTAAGGGACTGTTTTATATGGATTTATTAATCATTCTTACTGTTCAATGAACGTAAACTGCCGTAGTTTATTAAATACGCAAACCCCTCACTGCACGGCAGCTGCGCACCTTCAGCAAACCTCCTCATTCCTGCAGCACGACAGCTTTATGACTGTTTATGAGCGCCAAAAGTGGCGGATCTGTACGGCGAAATATCTGACTGCGTGTCACCGCATCCCTAAGGACTGTTTGGCGAAATATTTGACTGCATGTCACTGCATATCAAACGACTGAAACAATTTATTTATTTATTTATTCTAGCTGAAATAAGAAAAATAAGACTTTCTCCAAAAAAAAAAAAAATATATATATATATATTGTCTGACATTTTGTGAAAATTTGCTTGTTCTTTTAAACATCATTTAGGAAAATTTTAAAAAGAAAAAATGCAAAGGTGGCTAATAATTCTGACTTCAAATGTAGGAATATATATATATATATATATATATATATATATATATATATATATATATATATATATATATATATATATATATATATATATATATATATATATACAGTAGACCCTTTTGAGATGTAAACAAAAACAATGGTCCAAACGCATTTCCTGTTTTACAGTTTTAATTAATATAGCTCCCGAAAGTCCAAAAACAGCCGCATATTGATAAATAATGTTATTGTTAATGTTTTAACATTAAGTTATGATTGAAATGCCTCTTGTCACAGTTATGAAATAGTTTGTTATTAAGCAGGAAATGTTCATTGGCCAATGACATGATCACATTAAAATGGTCTGTATAAGTTGATGTGTTCATGCAGACACTTTACAAAAACTTTGCAGAAACTAACTATCCCTAAACTTTGGAAACGTCTTGCTGCCATAGTTGGCGTTGCTTATATGTAAATATTTTTAGTTCAGTTGGACAACAAACACTACAAGCCTAAATTGTAAGAGAGGACTCTGCTTGTATTTAGAAGTCAAAGTGCAATCAGAATATTGCCACAATCACTTTAAAAAGAGATTTGTTGACTACATAAAAATATGAAGTAAACCCATTGCCTTAAAATGATTACATTTTTAAAAATTAAATAAAAAAAGTGCATTTTTATAAAAAATAAGTTAGGTTGGTGGTTCATTCCGCTGTGGCGACCCCTGATGAATAAAGGGACTAAGCCTAAGGATATTGAATGAGTTCAACCAAAATTGAAAAAAAAAAAAACTCAAGCCATCCTCTGTGTACAGTATATGACTTTCTCTGTCAGACAAACACACACAGCCAGATTAATCTTGCATTTTGCTCTGGCTCTTCCATGCTGTATAATAGTTTTGGATAGTGGCTTTTATTTTGAAGCTTAAGCACAAACATCCGTTGCAAAACTAACCCATACACTACCAGGAGACTTACACATGTCTTATGAAGCACATAAATGTATTTTTGTATCAAAAATATTTCTCATTTTTCAATTATAAACTCCAATCACTGACTTCCAGCGACGCCAATGCTTGATGCAAGACAAGCAGACACATGTACACGACATTGTAAGAGCACTATACTGTATAATGTTACACACTAGGTCAACTATTTTTCTTGTTCTTATGTGGAAAACAGACTGTGTGCTAAGTGTTTCCCTTGAGAAGCATCTATTCCCGGAGTAATTGTAACTTCCATTTGAAGCCACCTTTAACTGTGGAGAATTGAGATCAGATAGGGGAGCTGCTGTCTGAGGACTGCTTGGTGTCTACAGAGGGCTCTTCTCATCCAGATGTCACACTCTTGTTGTAAGTGGATTTCTGGGAGCCAGAATGAAGCTGAGGCCAGTCGGAGCCACTTGTCCTGCATGCATGGAAAACATGTTATGCCTCTGCGGCTCCAGCGACACCAAACCACACGTGTGTTTCCATCACCTGAGGAAACGACAGAACACCACAGAAGCCAAGCACTGATGATCTGAGCTGCCATGAGCTCTGCAGGACAGAGGAAATGAAGCCACGGCCAGATAAACAACACACACACAAACACACACCTCCATATCTGCCTTAAAGTGTGGAGACTGCAAGCTGTATCATTTTGTTATTACAAAGGCAATACAGTGTAGCTGAGCGATCCAGAGACTGTATCTTTATCAAATACTGAGAGTCAATCTGTAATGAAAAATCACTCACTGTATCAGTAGGGATACATTGTTCCGCTCAACGAATGTCAAATATTTAGGACACACAAAGATAAAAAAAAAAAAAAAAAAAATTATATTATCAAATTTTTTTTTAAAAGAATACAGTGAGACTAGAACTAAGTACTTTCTTGTGTTTTTTTTTTTTTTATTTCTGTTTTGCTCACCGAACCTGCATTTATTTGATTAAAAGTAATGCAAAACCAGTACCATTTAGACATTTGAAATATTTAATATAACTCTTTTATATTTATTTATTTTTTTATTTAAATGTCATTTATTCCTGTAATTTGAACATTAGCATCACTACTCCAGTCACAAGTAATCATGTTAATTTACTGTTGAAGAAATGTTTATATTTTACCTGTTTTTTTTAACAGTCGAGACAATATTTAGTAACAGTAAGTTTTTTTTTTTTTTTTTTAAATTAGAAAGATTTGTC